GCCCCTAGAACCCTACAAAAACCCCTAACCCTACCAGCGGGCCCGCTCGGGATCGTGTGGGATCCGTGGCATGCCACACTAATCTGACGAGACTGACAGATCGGAGGGTCCAAGTGGCTACGCAGACGTATCGAGTTTCACCAGTTTATAGAGGGCCAAGAGCCTAATCAGCAACTCTGCTATTATTATCTAGTCCTCGACGGCCCAAGGGTTTTAAGTACTATAAACCCCTCTCCCTCTCCGCCCCCCCTCCCCTCCCCCCCCCCTGCCCATGGTGGAGACAAGATAAGACCAGATCCTCAGACCCCCTAAGACCAAGCACTCAGGTGGCCCTCTCATCGCCCAATCCCGCACATTACCACCATCGACCTCAACCCGTCCTCCCCCTCCCCCTCCCCCTCCCCTGCCCCCCCCGGCCCATGCGTGGCCCTCCCTATGACCCTATCCACCATTCTACAACTATGCTCACCTAAACCCCTTGCGCGGTGCGCAGGCAGTGTCCGTAAATCTTACCATGGGTCTGTCGTCCCAAGTGGGGGAGCGGGGGGAGGAGGGGGGGTGAGTGGCTTGTGCATTACAAAAAAGCGCTGCCACTGTACGGCAACGTAGCTTTGAACCCGCAACCTCATATATACCACAATGCGAATTTATTTTTTTTTCCCAACCGGTGCTCTAACCACTGAGCCAACAGCCATCCAGAGTTTTTTTTTTTTTTTTTAGTATAACTAAGCTATATTCTTCTCTCTCACATCTTTCACCATCTTTCAAAATCTTTCAATTCACCTTTTCACTACCTAGCTACCTATCAGATCCGTTTTCTTTTTTCTTTTCTTTTTTTTTCTTTTCCCACATCCTTATTATCATGATTTGGCCAATCCTGGATTTGTTTCGTGCAGAGATGCAGAAAAGCAGTTTTTCGCGATTTTCTGCACCTCTCCCCAAACACGACCGCATTCACGCTTTCGAATCCACACTCCTCTGTCCTTGTGCGATCTCGCCCTCGGCATCACGGTCCTTGTCATCATATCATCAAACGATGGCCAAATCGTTTTCCACATCAACGAAAAAAAAAAAAAAAAAAAAAAAACATCAACGAGCCTTATTAGCTCAGTTGGGACACACCCATGAACTGTTGAAAAGTAGACCTGCGTTCGAATCCAGATGGAAATACCCGTAGAAGAGATCCAGAAGGAACTAGACGAACGAAATTCTTGAATGACCTGGTTGGGAGGGGGGGGGGAAGAAGGCCAGTTTTCCACGATGATATGTTTTTGCGTTTTTGTCCTTACAACCTCCTCAGAACCTCAGGATGCTTTTTGGACTTTGGGCCTCGCTCCACTACACATTACCCTGCTTGCATGCATTTGGGACGCTTTCGGGACCAGGTGCATTCCGATGACTCCAACATTTTGAATGTACCTGGTCCCAAAAGCGTCCACATGCACGTAGAGTGATGCTTTTTGGACTTTGGGCCTGGCGCCACTACACATTACCCTGCTTGCAAGCATTTGGACGCTTTTTCGGGACCAGGTGCATTCCGATGACTCCAACATTTGAATGTACCTGGTTCCAAAAGCGTCCACATGCATGTCGAGTCTCGTGCAGTAGAGCAAGGCCCTTTTTCTTCAGTTGAAGCGAGAATCAAAGGTTTCCACTCTTTCGCTCAGATTTCCTTCCTTTCGTTTTCCCCAAAGGACGACGACCTTGACACACTAGTATTATCATCAATCATCGATCTGACCGACCGCAGGTAATTCAGAATTCCATATTCACTACAGTCTTCCCCCGAATACAACGTACGGTCATTATCGCTGAATTTAGACCCAAAGATGCACCAAATTCGGCAATAATGACCGTGCGTTGTATTCGGGGGAAGACTGTAGTCACCACATGCAGTGAATGTGGAATTCAGAATCCCACTGGAATTCAGAATTCCATTCACAGGTCCATAAGGATTCGAACTACCGTCTTCACCCCAATAGAACGCCCGGTCATTATCGCTGCATCTGGACCGAAAGTTTTGCCAAATACAGCTATAATGACCGGGCTTTCTATTCGGGTACAGACGGCAGGGTTTGTATCTCAACCGTTGATGGGTGAAACAACTGAATCAAGGGTCTCGCTCCACTACTCACCACATGCACAAACGACAAAACATATGACGATGTATCAAGATTCCTTCTCATTTGTGCGCTGCACATTTGGTGAGTAGTGCCGCAAAACGCTAAATCACGAGAGACAGTGGGCGTCGCTGCACTACTCTCGACATGCACAAAAGACAAATTTAAAATCATGGCCGTGCATCTTTCCATATTCTAGCGGAAGATTCACTCTCGTTTTGCACATTTCGAGAGTAGTGCAGCGAGGCACTGTATCAAATTACAAAGAATCCGATCAGATGACGCGAGAGAACAACGGATACCAAGACAAGTTATTTGCCCGCGGAGCAGATTTAGGGCCTCGCTCCACTACTCACCACATGCATGCATCTGTACGTGTTCTAGCGAAAGATTCAGTCTCATTCTGCACAATTGGAGAGTAGTGGAGCGAGGCGCTTAATCCAAAGCCTGCCTTGGGTGAAAGAGCAACACAAACAGTTGCTACACACGCAGACGAGAACTTTTCATCGGATCGCCGAGGAGAAGGAATAGGAGTAGAAGAGGAGGAAAAGAAGATAGAAGGAATAGGAGAAAGCAGAGAGAGAGAGAGAAGGAATAGGAGAAAGCAGAGAGAGAGAGAGAGAGAGAGAGAGAGAGAGAAGGAATAGGAGAAAGCAGAGGGAGAGAGAAGGAATAGGAGAAAGCATAGAGAGAATGAATAGGAGAGGAGGAATAGGAAAATGAATAGAAGAGAAGGAATAGAAAAGAAGGAAGAGGAAGAGGAGGAGGAGGAGGAGGAGGAGGAATAGGGGAGAAGGAATAGGGGAGAGGAGAAAAATAGGAGAAAGAATAGAGAAGGAAAAGGAGAAAAACAGGAGAGAAGGAATAGGAAAAAGAATACGAGAGGAGTAGAAGGAGACGGAAGAGGAGAGCAAGAATAGGAGGGAGGAGGGAGGAGGAGGAGGAGCCAAGGGACTTGATATGAAAACTGAATCTTATTCACATGAAAAGAACAGTGTAGGTCAGGCCAATAAAAGCCAGCGGAAAAAGGATACCGTCGCTGCGAGTACGTTCGATGGGGGTGTTGAGGCAAAAAATCGAGAGTCCATCGATTGCTGAATCATTAAGCAAAATGACAGATGAGGGAGGGTGTGACCACCGACCAGTCTACACGCGCGTCCGTGGTGTAGGTCTACTACCCTTTGCGCCGAGGCCAAATAGCAGCTACTGCCTGATCATTCCCGCCGTCTTCTACCGATCGCAGGGGAGACCGGTCATGAACGTATACAAGTTACTTTTCCAGTCCGATACGGCCATAATGAGATGCGTTGGGTTTTGACAAACAAGGTAGTGAAGGACGAACCCACCCACCCACCCACCCACCCACCCACCCACCCAAGGGCTCGAGCCCTTGATCGGTTCGCTAGAGGCGAGAGCCAGGACAAATCAGATTTGACAGATCCATCATCTTCACCATAATCTTCCTCACCTTCTTTCATCACCTTCATCATCTTCATCGTCTTCAGCGTGAAGAAGCACGTCGTCCTGTGATAAAGTGAATATACATGGGCCTAAAAAGAGCTGGCTGAACAATCGCTAAACAACAATCGCTGCTGAACAACAATCGCTGAAACAACAATCGCTGAACAACAATCGCTGAGCATCAATCGCTGAACATCAATCGCTGAACAACAATCGCTGAACAATCGCTGAAACAATTGCTGAACAATCGCTGAAACAATCGCTGAACTTTCGCTGAACAATCGCTGAACAATCGTTGCAGAACAATCCTTGTGAATCTCTGAGCAATCGCTGAACAATCGCTTAAACAATCGCTGAAACAATCGCTGAAACAATCGCTGAACTTTCGCTGAAGAACAATCCTTGAGAATCGCTGAGCAATCGCTGAAGAATCGCTGAATAGTCGATAAACAGTCTCAGGAGGGAAGAAGACTGCAGTTACTCTTCCCTGATGGAACGCGATAAGCGAGACGAATCCATCAAATTCAATGTAAACAAGATACGTCAGCTTAGCGAGGGGGGGGGGGGGGGGGGGGGGGGGGGGGGGGGGGGGGGGGGGGGGGGGGGGGGGGGGGGGGGGGGGGGGGGGGGGGGGGAGAGGAGAAATATGGAACGATACGATACACAAAGAGAGAGGATTAGCATGGCCCCTGCGCAAGGATGACACGCATAAATCGGGAAAAAAAAACAAACAAACAGAAGGACCCTAAGAAGCGGCGGGGGAGGCAGACAGATGCAGCGCCTAGAGACACAGAGAAGCAAAAACAGACAGACAACGGATCCGGCGGCCATGGTTAAAAAAAAAAAAAAAAAAAAAAAGCAGAGAAGACCGCAGAAGGGGCCATGTGTCAGCGCGACGTTAAGACCTCGCTCCACCACTCACCACAAGCACAAACGACAAAAAAAGGGGGGGTATCTTTCCATGTTCTAGGGGAAGATTCATTCCCATTTTGCACTTTTTTTCTTGGTGAGTACTGGAGCGAAGCCCATCGCATGCGAACCAGCAATTTTGAGTCTTTCTTTATAAAAAAAAAAAAAAAAAACATCAGTTTGACAGTGAATACGTATCCGTCCGATGATGAGGGAACAACTGGGGGAGAGGGTATTCGTTCCATTGGTCTGTGTGTGAGTGTGTGTGTGGGGTTGGGGGGGGAGAGAGGTTTTTTTTTTTTTTTTTTGGGAGGGGGGCGGGGGGAGGAAGGCGCGGGAGGGAAAAGATGGCATGTACGCGGTCGCTTTTGCGACTAGAAACAGTCATCAGCCAAAACACACAACTTTCTTGCTCACACTCTTCTCATGGATGTTATATGTTATACTCCACCCCAATTACAACCGCTGCTTAATTATGTCTTGAATATCTGGTACCGCCTCCTTGAATTTTTTCCACTGATCCACTGATAGACTGATGCCCTTTTGGGTGGGGAGCATTTCCCCTTCCTTCTCATAGTACTCCCTGATACCGACATAAACTTTCCCTTTGAAGAGAGAGACGGTAACCCTCCTCTTGTCCGACAGCTTACAGACGATGATCTCGCCGTTGCTGCCCGTTGTTCTTCCACCGCCGCCTACCTTTGCGCCCGACCCCGATCCCGATCCCGATCCCTTTGTTGCACCCTTTTTCTCGTGGCTCTTGGACTTCTTGCTCTTCCTCTCCTTCTCCTCCTCTTCTACGTCTTCGTCTACTTCCTCGCCATCTTCATTACGACCTGATTTCCTCTTCCTGTCCGGCTTTTTCTCCTCCTCTTCGTCAGGCTCTTCCTCAGGCTCCGCTTGTACCTTCTCAAGAAATTCCTCGATACATCGCCTCACTATATCCTTGTGGTCTCGTGTAGACAGTGCAATTCCCGTCCTCTTCTCTGCTAACGACCTCACCATTCTCTCCGTTACTTTCTCCATATCTGCCTCCTCCAATATCTTCCCCACCGCCGATTCTATGGCTTCTCGCTCCCGTTCGCTCACCATCTTCTCTCTCTCTCTCTCTCTCTCTCTCTCTCTCTCTCTCTCTCTCTCTCTCTCTCTCTCTCTCTCTCTNTCTCTCTCTCTCTCTCTCTCTCTCTCTCTCTCTCTCTCTCTCTCTCTCTCTGTGTGTGTGTGTGTGTGTGTGTGTGTGTGTGTGTCTGTGTGTGATTAGCTCTCTCTCTCTCTCTCTCTCTCTCTCTCTCTCTCTCTCTCTCTCTCTCTCTCTCTCTCTGCGTGTGTGTGTGTGTGTGTGTGTGAGAGAGATTAGCTGTCTATATAATCTATGTAGCTATACCGATTAATCTACCTGTATGTATGAACCTACCTATGTATTAATCCCCCTATTCTCTTTCTCTCTCGCGTTCGTTTCACTTGTTCGCAGACAACGACGGCTCGCCGATCCAACCGGGCAAAGGCAGCCGTCACCGACCCCGACGTCAAGCGACGGACGCTCTAATCCCCCAACCCAAGCTTGCGGCACTGCGGCGGATTGATTAGTTGCTGCTGGCGGGATAGACGGACTGATTTACCACTACACTCATCAACTCATCAATGATACCGATTGATCGGTCGACCCACTGCTTGATTGATTGACAGGCTGACCATAACGATCACCGCTGATCATACCAACCAACTTCACTCACCCCTAGACCGCCATGCCAGGCCAAAGTGACATGGACAAGTTAGCCTTCATTGGTTGGCGGACAGACACATAACGGCCGCTACTGGTCGCTGCTACCGGTAGCCTATTGAGGCTCGCAGACCGGACCAAATTCACCACGGCATACTCACACTTGGTAGTACTTTCATAAATGCATCTGACCGCAATTACGACCAGGCCGGGATCTGACGGCAATAACGTCCAGAGCTTGGTAGAAAAAGTCCTCACGTGAGTATGCCCTCAGTGACCCCGCCAAACGCAGCAGCTCAGCGATATGCCAAAAGGCAACAAGTGCGACGCGCGGAAGTCAGGGCATACTCACACTAGAAGTATCTCAAACGTATCTGACCGCATTCACGCCATACCTGGATGTATCTGGCCACAGTTCCGCCCAAAAATACGCAAAAAACGTACTAGTGTGAGTATGCCCTCGGTCGGCTATGCCAAAGAGATTGGTGATCAGACACAACGATGGCTGCTTCTCCCAGCTGGGGGAAGATGGATGAAAGAACATTCAAAAAATATTCAAAGAAGATACGCGCCTTGGCAATACCGTGCCGATGCCCACGTACTAATCGGTCGCAGGACCGGCCACCGTCGTCGCCTACCGGTAGCGCCGACGCCTGCTGGACTCTGGCCTTCGCCCTGATCTCTTCGGTCTTGCCTGTCGCAAACCGGCCCGTTGACGACAGCCCAGGCGTCCATGTGCGCGCCTACCGGTAGACAAAACCACGACCGGTCGGTTGCATCAGCTTCCCGCCGCTCCTTCCGCTGGGGTGCTGTGTTCGCCAGCGCTCGACTCCTCAACGTCGAGTGGCCAAACGGCCCATTAGCACCAGCGCTGCACCACCGGGGCCTGCACGTCCACACCTACCATAGGCTGAATTGCGCCTGTAGAAGATTGCATGAGCCTGGAGTCCGAAGTTCCCGTACGGCAAGGTTGGTCCGCTTCCGCTTCCGCTAGGCCTGGGGGATTGGCCCAGCCGTGGCTCTTGTCGATGATCGCCGGTCCCAGTTGCCCTCGATACTGATCGTGGGTGCTGGTCACACTGAGGGAGGATAGGAGGGGCAGGGGGTGCGCAGGGAGTATTAACGTGGGGATGGGTAGGGTAGGTGGGCTATCCTGTCAGGACAACCATTGGCTGCCGCTGCCAGCAATCACGGCGGGTCTGATCCTTGGCCTTTTTTTTCTTCTTTTTTTTGTGGGTCCTTGGCCTCTACAACACCCTGGAGTTTGTGGGGGGTGGGGGTGGGGGGAAACTCCGTTTGTTTGATGACCTTCCCGGCGGAGAGGTCCAGCCGGCACCTACCTCACCCCGCCCAGACAGCTCCCTGCTGATCCTTGACCACCTTCAAAGGCCAGGTCAAGTCAGGGCATACTCAAATGGGGTCCTCAACCCCCCTGCCAAAATGAATGGGGTTGAGAGAAAGGGGTTGAGAGAAGGGGTTTGGGGAGATTGACTTTTTTTTTGGATCAGACAAGGTCCGGATACTCCTCAAATTGTTCAGTGGGGGCCTGGGGGTGGGGTGGAGGGAGGGAGGGAGGGGCAGTGGAGGAGGAAGGGGGGCCAGAAAGACATGCCCCAAACATCTGGCACAGACAGATGGCATCCAGATCCTCTGAAGCAAAACCAGACAAGCATCTGTTGGAGAAAGAGCCAAGTGCAAGGTAGGCACACCAGAGTGTGCATTGAGCCCGAGAAGACCTGCATCAAAATTGAGGGCCTAGTTGCACTACTCGCCATACGCCAAGTATGGAGAGTAGGCGCCTGGTTGCACTTACTCGCCAAACTTGACGAATGCAAAATGTGTCAGACGGCTCGCCACACCGTCGACACAAGTTGTGGAGAGTGGATTTGGTTTCCCCAACTGTGCATGGCGGTTTGTGGAGAGTGGTCCTCGGACCTCTCCACAAAACAGCTTTCTGGAGAGTGCAGGGCTTCACGAGTAGACATCAGGTAGACAAATTTTTTTAAGCCACCAGTACTTAACGCTATGCAATTTTAGGAAACGTACGGGCCACTACAGGAGCGCCCAAATTCATCCAACTAGAAACGTTTCTACTCTATTTTTTTTCCGCGGCCGATAGCTGGGCCAAGTACTGGTGGTTTAACTTTTCTGTAGAAGAAATATAGTGGCAAGTGCAACCAGGCCTCGAGTTTGACGCGATTCTCAGTTTTTTCACTCTCCACGCATCCACCACAAAATGTGACGGATGGCGAGTAGTGCAACTAGGCCGTGAGCCAGAGACGACCAGCATAAAAGTGACACCATGGGCCTCGCTCCACTACACAACACTGTACAGGCATTTGGACTCTTGAGGGACCAGGTGCATTCGTACGATTCAAGTTCCAAAGTTGTGAATGTATTCGGGCAAGAAAGCGTCCAAATGCATGTACAGTGTTGTGTAGTGGAGCGAGGCCCCATTGCAGAAAGGAGTGCTTGTAAGGCCAAGTGAAGGGGCCTCGCTGCACTACTATTGAAATGCACAAAAGAAAAAAATCATGGCTGTGTATCTTTCCATATTCTAGCAGAATATTCACTCCCGTTTTGCACATTTCGAGAGTAGTGCAGTGCCGCCCAAGGTAGGCATAATGCAGTGCGCATTGGACCACGTAAGACCACCACCACGAGTACCCCGCCCAGTTTTTTTTGTTTTTTTTTTTAGGCATAATGCAGTGCGCATTGGACCACGTAAGACCACCACCACCAGTACCCCGCCCAGTTTTTTTT